AATTTGAAAAATTGGTAAATTTCAACTTTGACCTCGTAAGTCAGTTATTATTATTATTGTTATTATTATTATTATTATTATTGTTATTGATTGGCATGTGTATTTTGCGTGCTTTATATTTCACTTGGTATGATATGGAAGGACTTTAGTATCAGTTGTTTAAAAGTTATCAAATATATTTTAATCTATAAATTTTTTTAAATTTCAAGTAGCTTTGAAGAAAAAAATAGTTTTCGGAATTTGTAAACATTTACGCAATTAAGCATTACGTCTACACAAATCTTAGTTTGGACGAGAATGTGTTCATTTTAATTTTCAGTTATACTTTAAAAATTTTTTGATTATTATTAAATAGTCGTGATTATTGATAGTGAAGTTTTAGATTCGTGGACCATACAAGAACAAATATGGAAAAGATTTAATAGATGAACTAAAAAAGGAATTATCTGGTGATTTCGAAGATGTCATCATGGGCTTGATGGAGACACCAACCAAATATGATGCTACACAATTACAGAAAGCAATGAAAGTAGTACATATTTGAAGATAATTTGATTGATTAGTAGCCCTTTCAATTTTAATAATTTATATGAAGTTAACTTGTGATCAGTTTTCTTATTTGGTCTATATCAACAAGATTTAGTATTCTTTTATTCTACTAAGTTGAAGAAAGTGAATTTAATTTTGAGCTGGTTTAATTAATATAAATTTCGTTTTAGTAGCAGTGAACTGAAATTTAGATTTAGTATGAAGAATTAAAAATAATAATGATTTTTTATTTTGATATTTGTATCAGTTTGGCATAGGACAACTTCTATTTTCAGATCACATTTTCCGTGAACTTAATTTAGATTTACGTGTGAACCAAGTTTCAGGGTTTGGGTACTACGGAAACCACACTGATTGATATTTTGTGCTCTCGAAATTTCGATGAATTGACAGCAATCAAAAATGAATACATGGATGAGTATGGGAAATCACTAGAAAGTGATATTGTGGGTGATACCAGTGGTGACTTCAAGGAATTGCTGCTTGCATTGCTTAATACACGTCGTGACCCATCGCATAATGTTAATTATCTAAAAGCTCGAGAAGTTCGTTTTTTTCTGTTTAGAAATATTCTCTATTTTACAAAAACATTTCGTTAACATTTCTTTAATTAATGTTTGTTCTTTTAAATTCTCTTTCTAGCAGTTACTCATTACTACACTAATTTAAGACTAATTTATAAAATTCAAACATTAATGTTAAAATAAAATTCAAAATTTAAACATTAATAAAATTCAAACATGACGTTAAAAATGCAAACATTAATTCAATTTGAAATAGTACACTAATTTAAAAAATTCATA